AATAATTCAGAAGATATTGATATAACCGGCATGGAGGTGGTAGTACTAGAAAATATGATGCATAGCCCAAATATGATTGAAGATAGTCAATTACATAATGTAAATACATGCTTTAAAGAAACTGGACAGTTGAATAATGTAGTATATCTGTATAATAATAATATCTTAATACTGACTAATTATATAGAAATTGTTATTTATAGAAGTTGGTTACAGTTGAGAACAAGGAGAGTGAAGAGGATGATGTGATTATTCCTCAAATACCTACAACTAGTTATCAACACGATTGGAATACTTGGTCACCATCTTTATACACTTGAGGTCTTCTACGTCCAATATTATTAACATCATCAATACATTCAATAATATTATGAATATTATTCATTTTTCAAGAAAAAGATATAAATAAAAAGCTTTATACCTAATTAAAATATTATTAAAAACGTAAAAAAGTCTGAATAATAAATTGATAAGAAATAATAATCTATGACATTCTTCCCGCTAAATACCTTATCAAACACCAAAACCTGCCACTAAAATATGTGTCCGCTAACTCATAGTTAGAGGTAGCATTTAGCATAGCGAAACATTGTAATAACGAAATTTTAAAATCTAGCCGCTAAATGTGCTCGCTAAGCTAGTGGAAGGTTTAGCGGTCGATTGTAATAACGGCCCTTAGATATGGTATTTGGGAAGTAGTTAAAATTTAAAAAAATATATTATGAAATGGAAGTCGATTATCCCAACAACATAACATTATAATATATACTAATTAAAATGTATTAAAATTTTTAAACTTAAATATCTATAAAAATGGTAGCTAATCATCTATGTTTGAAAAAATTGGATACGTGTTATTCATCCAGTTAGTTGCCAATCGACTGCTCGAAACTTATCAATTTCTTTGCAAAATCTATTCTGTTTTTCAAAAGTCTGCAAAGGGATGTTTTTAAACCATGCCATAATTTGCAATGCAAGCTCATTTTCATCGGTGTATACAAGACCATTTCCATCGTGTTGAACCAATTCATCTAAGCTAAAACAAATAAACATTTGTTAAATTATTAAAAATTAAAAAAATTATTACATTTATTATGATAAAAATAGAATTTTCTATTAATGTAATCATTATTACCAAGCAAAATCATATGCACAGACAGGTATACCAACGCCAAACATATTGATGATTTCATCGGCAAGAGTAAACCTCTATTAGACACTTATACAAACACCAAGATCAGCACACGCTGGAATTATTCAAGAAATATATTACACAAAAAATAATCTATTAACAGTTTTACCTAAAAGAAGTGGATAGTCGTTATTCTCGAGCCAAGGTGTAATGATTGAAACCTTTTTGAATTTTAATTTTAAAATCATTTTTTAATAGTGACACTTAGTAGGTCTTGTCCAGTGATCACACAAACGAGTTTTAGGTAGATATCATCACTTTCGTCATATTCTGAAACAATAATTTTGGTTAATATATTGTGGTGACCTAGTTATTTCTTGAACTAAATAGATATTTAAAGGTACAGTAATAAAATTTAAGTCTCAACAGATACCCAGAACCATATCCACAGAACAATAACTAAATAAACAAATTTGTATTTGTGGGTAAATTTAAACTGTCCAATTGACTATCATAAATAAGTAGGTAGGTAATTGCATGGTTGAAATATATAATATTATTGCATATCTATTCATAGGCGCCCGCAGGGAGGGGGGCAAACTGGGGCATTTGCCCCCCTGGCTTTTTCAAAATATTTTTTTAAATTAAATGTTTTAAGATAAATTACTATATACTATACAACAAATTTAAAGTATAAAATAAGTTGTAATATAATAAAATATAATATATTGTATAAGAGTATAACAAAAAAGGTTATTATTTTAAAACACCTAGTAAAATTATAATATTTATCCTCAAATCCTAACATTGCCCCCTCCTAGAAAAATGTCTGCGGGCGCCTAAGTATCTATAGATATAACACATCTCAATAAAATATTTGAT